ATTCCTGTACTGAATTTTTTTTTTTTTTGGTCTAGTTTATCTGTTTGTGATAGTGGGGTTCCCTACTATATTTGTGTTTATGTTTATCTGATCTTATATCTAATAGAACTTGTTCTATGAAGTTGGAGATATCAGTATTTGGTGCAGATGTTAACAATTGTTATCTCTTCTTCTTGAATTGTTCCCCTAACCAATATGTTGTGACTTTCTTGCCTGTTCCAATCAACATCAGCTTGAAGTCCACTTTGTCTGAAAATAGGATGCCTTATTTTTGAGTTCGTGTTGCATGAAATATTACTTCATAGTTTCTCATTTTCAATCTGTTTATTTCTTTTTTGGTTAAATGTGTTTCTTGTACACAGCATACTAGTAAATTTTGTTTCTTCTTCTTTTTTCTTTGTTTCTTCTTTTTTTAATCTTTTATTTATTTGGTACAGGGTCTCCCTACACAGCTCAGACTCGTAGTAAATCTGTCTCAACCTCTCCAGTGCTAGGATTACACACGTGTGCCACCACGTCTGGTTTCTGGGGTCAGCAAGGCATATCTGGGGTCTAGGGCTGGCACGGATGTGGTACTGAGTATCTGGTACTGGGAATCAAACCCGGGTGCTTGTGCTTTCTAGACAGGCACTTAGACTGCTGAGCTATCTCCCCAGTCCCAAATTTTGTGTCTTGATCTATTCTGCCAATCTGTGAGCACTTCTTCACCTTGAGAGTTATTGCAGAAAGGTATGGACTTATTCCTGTCATTGCGTTACTTTCCCATTGCTAATTCCTTTTTTACCTTCTAGTGAACCACTTACTGGTTATGGTTTCTATCTAGATGCCCACCAGGCCCCATGTGGGAGTTTTAGGTGATCAGATTATGGGGGTTTGATAGTCATCAGTAGACTGAACCACCGAGGAATTTATAGTTAGATTTGGTGTTGGGAGGTAAAGCCTGGGGGGAGCAGGTGAGCCACTCAGGGAATGTTCTAGAAGGATATGCTTCCCCCTCACCCCTGATTTCTTCTTGCTGCCGTGCCAAGAGCTCTTCCTCTTTTATGTTCCTCTGCCATGCTGCTTTGCCTTGGAGTCAGCCAACTATGGACTGAGGCCTCTCCAGTCTCTGAGCCAAAACAAATCTTTTTGTTTTGGACTTGTGGGTGTCAGGAATTGGGTTTCAGCAATGAGAAAGTAATTAAGACATCACCCTGATGGATGTAGTCATGCTATTAAACATTTTTGTCATTGTGAGCTTCATTGTCTATTTCTAGGACATCCTTGAGAATTTTTGGGAGAGCTGGTTTGGTGGTCATGAACTCTTTAGGTCTTTCTTGTCATGAAAATATATTATTTTTCCATCAATTTGGATTTTTTTTTGGCTGGCTCAGGCTGCCTTAAGGGTGGGTCTGCTAAGGCAGGGGAGGTGGGGATCAAACCGCTGTATCCTGTGCCTGACTATGTTTGCATGAGCAGGCGCTTAAACAAAAATTGGGAAGGATTTTTTTTTTTTTTTTTTGGCTTCTCCATCAGTTTGGGTAGGTGCCTTTTGTGCTAGCTTCTGATTTTTCATTAAGTCTATTTAATCTTAGATTAGTCTTTTTTTCATTTTCTAGCAGATGTTTGATCCACTGTTCATGTTTGGTTGCTGTTTTCAAGATATCTGTCACTGAATTGTCATTGTCAGCAGCCCCATCTTCTAGTTCTGACCTTCTCTGCTCACACTTGTCACTTCTTCTGTCCATACCTGCAATAGAAATTTTAATCTCCTGAATTTTTATTTGGCACCTTTTTATGGACTCTAATTCTTTTCTATGATGGGCATTCATGCTATGTATCATTTTGTTTCACTCTGCTAGTTTTTAATTATTTTATTAGGCCCATTATATTTTATTTCAATTTGCAAAGCACATTATTAGTCTGTTTTAAAAAAAATCTCCATTATGTTTTCACATAATCTTGTTGTCTAGATTTTGCTCTCCCCACTCCCTTTTCCCCATGCATTGGCTTTTGACACTTTGGAGATTTTTTTCTTTGTTTCTTTTTTTTTTTTGTATTAGGGAAGGGTCTACAGGGTGTCAGGTTCTCACTACTAGATGGGACTTATAGTGATCTGCCTGTTTACAGCCTCCCAAGTGCTGGGATTACAGGCGTGCACCACCACGTTCAGTCTCAATCTCTGTTTCAATGTGCCCTAGGGGCTGGACTGGCACTGCAGGCCCAGGGATCAAACCCCCTGCCCTTGTGCCTGCTTACAGGTGCTTTAATTTGCTGAGCTAACTGTGGAGTTTTTGGAAAGATTTTGTTGCCTTATCTTCTCATGTTTCTAGTTTTTTTTTTTTGGTCTTGGGTCTTGCAGGGTGATTATGGTTGAAGGTTTTGTTGCTAGTGTGAATATCTCTTTTATTAATGTGTTTTTCACCAGTGCTCTCTGGGCAGGGCTAAAGATAGGCTTTTGCCTCTATCCTAGACTCCAGCCACCTCCATTTCTGTGAGAGGGGATGTTTCAATGTATTTGTTTGACTGGGAATAGTTGTCTGGGAATAGGCTGCAGCATTATTAATGGCAAGAGGGCAATCTAGATAGTGGCATATGGAGAAAAACCAGTTAATAGCAACAACTACGTCATTCTGCTTATAGTAATAAGATCAGCAAGAGCAATACATTGGAGACAGATTGGATATTGACATACCCTAAGAACCAATAATATACCACCTGTAACTATAGAAAAGAGATCTATAATCGTAGTATAAATACCAAGACAAACTAAACATTTACCTATAGTAAATATATATTAAATGGAACATTACTTTCATTAACAACAGAACAGTATTGAACAGTAACAGCATGGAATGAAGTAGCTATCTAAAGACTCACAAAGTTTAGTAGTTATGCTAAGAAAGGTAGAGGGGTTGGGGTGCTGGAGAATCGAGTAAAGGAAAATTGCAAAAATTAATAAGTGGAAGATTAGAAGGAGGAGAGAAAAGTAAGATAGGGAATCCTGTTGAGGAGTAAAAGGATTGATGGTATTGGGAAAACAGTCACAGAAAAGAACAAACAAGAAAAAGAGAAACAAAGAAAATTTAAAAAAAATAAGGAAGAGGGAAAAGTCAACATGGGAAAAGAAAATAGAGAGGAAAAAAGGTGCAAAAAGACTCCCCTCTTCCCCCAAAACAAATGTAAGAGAGAAATGAAATAAATTGAGTAAAAAAATATTCCCCTGTGTTGTTGAATGAGTAGTATTTTTTTTTTTTTCCAAGATCTGCAGTTTTGTAATCCAGCAAGTCAAGATTTTTCTCCACCTAGCTTGGTTGGTGAGGTTCCCACCATGTTTTAGAGGCCTCTCTGTCTGTTCACCTTAGACAGTGGTAACTGTTGGAGCCAGGGCACGTCCTTGCTCACGTTGGTAGCAGGTTTTTTATTTTTTGTGGAACCGGGGATTGAACTCAGGCCCTTGTGCCTGCCAGGGATGTGCTTATTCTACTGCGCCATTTCCCTGGCCTCATGTTGGTAGCTGTGAAAGCAGTCAACTTTCTGGTCTCTGCTGGCCATAGGCCAGGGTGTAGGGGCTCAAGAAAACTGGTGGACTTATTGGACCTGTTTTCTTACTATGGAGATCAGGGCTGACATCCTTCCCAGACTGAGTTTAAACTCCCCAGGTGGTCTTTGTTTAGCCTACACCTCCCTGAGGCAGTCTCCCAAATCCATCTCTCATTCAGTCACTGGGATGATGACATTAGGGTCCCTGAAGCTGGTGGCCAGGTCCATACTTTCTCCCTGTGTCTCTTGGCCCTTTGGGTTTACTTTAACCCTGGGCATTGGCCTTGTCCATGATTAAGTGGGCTGGGTAGTGTGTGCCTCCGCTGTCCTGTGCCAAGGAGAAGCTAAACATAGAGCTGGCTTGGGGCTGGTGAGTGATTGCAGCTGGGCAGCAGAGGCTGCTGTGCCAGCCTGCAGGGGCAGCCTCGTGTACTCTTTTTAACATCTCCTGGGAGTTAGGTATTGTTACTATTTCAGTGTTACAGATGGAGAAACTGAGATATGGAGAAGCTTAAGTACTTTGCCCAAGGTCACAGTAAATGACAGGGGTGGGACTAGAAGTCCAACAGTCAGGTTCCAGAGCAGTGCCCTTAACTTGAAGTAGACCAAGAAACAGAGGCAGGATAAAGGAGAAGCTGGGGCACACCTGTGCCACTTTTGTCACCTGTCACATTTATAAGTGAGAAGTCTTAAGTTTTGGGAAAACACACTGAAGTGTTTGTTCTTTGACAGTGAACCATAGAAATTTCAAACTAGAAGATATAATATACATATTCAATTTGGTGAATTCAAAAAGTTCTCTTGGTAGCCCTTTCTCAGGCCTCTCTGGGAAAGTCCTGGGGTCCACTGCTCACCCATCAGTGCCCCTCTCCACAAGTAAACATATCAGCCCTGATTTTTTTTATTTTTTAAAAATAATTTTGTTGAGAAACAAATAGCATTGAGACAGGTTCAAAACTGATTACTAACACAATTTCAGTAATTAATACATTGCATATCGTTGTCTTCTTAGTGGTTATTCATAGTACAAGATGCAGACATGATATCCTGTCCACAAACACTATTAGAACAACTCTTTCTATTCACTGATTTAAGAGAAAGTAGCTGTATATCTCTTCTAACTACTTTTAATATACAGATAGGAAATGGTCCTTCATTTGTATCCCCTTTTTTTGTTTAGTTTTGTCAGAGAAGGGTGTCCCATTGTTGTTTAAATATTGTAGGTGTGTGAATTTAGCAAAATATTCCAATATAGTCCAGTAGTCCATAATAGTAGTGGGTTTTCTGTAAGACTGGCAATGTCAGAGTTGTTGACTTGAGCCTTTTACAGCTCAGCATATTAATATGATTTTACTTTTTATACTTCATTTTTATACTTTTCTGCTGGATGGTTAAGACCAAGATAAAGCAAGACCTTTATTACAAGAAATGTAACTTTTGGTGGGAAGCAGCCATGGTCTGAGCGGCGCGCCCCTGCCAGCCCCGCGGGCTTCTGCGCTGAGCTCCGGCCTTTGAGCCCCGCGTCCTGCCGGCAGAGGGGGCGGCAGCCCGGCCACCATGATACAGTTCATCTTGCTCTTCAGTCGGCAAGGGAAACTGCGGCTGCAGAAATGGTACACCACCCTCCCCGACAAAGAAAGAAAAAGGATCACCAGGGAAATCATTCAGATCATTCTCTCTCGGGGCTACAGGACCAGCAGTTTTATTGACTGGAAGGAGCTGAAACTTGTTTATAAAAGGTATGCTAGTTTATATTTTTGCTGTGCAATAGAAAACCAAGACAATGAGCTCTTGACGCTAGAGATTGTGCATCGGTATGTGGAGTTGCTGGACAAATACTTTGGAAATGTCTGCGAGCTGGATATTATCTTTAACTTTGAAAAGGCATATTTTATCCTTGATGAGTTTATAATAGGTGGGGAAGTTCAAGAAACATCTAAGAAAACTGCTGTGAAGGCCATTGAAGAGTCTGACATGCTACAGGAGACGATGGAAGACTATATGAACAAACCCACATTTTAGCCATGCATCTACTTGAGGACTCAGTGCTCTGAGCTGTGCACAATGAAGAAACAACACCCTGTATCCAGTCTTGACACAGTCTTTAGCACCATGCCAAAAAATGACTTAAAGGGATTCTTTATTAACTAGCAAAAATGGAAGTTGGTTAGCATAGTACATTTATGCTGGCTACATGTCTGTATTGTACTGTATGTGAGTATTTACCCCGCCTCCAGCTGTTTGAAATGACTGTTGCCTAAGCCAATCATCTAGTGATTTGGAATATTTTAATTCCATATGATATTTCCAAGCTAATTTCAAAATATTATTTGCAGTATATTTGTGTTGCATTTGATCTTTTACTGACGATTTGAAAACCATATTGGCTAACCCATGATTTTGAGTGTAAAGTGTACCTTCTATCGCTGTTTCCCTTCCTAAGTATTTAGTTTTCTAAGTCGTATATGAATTCAAAGTTATGTTAATAGTTCAGAGTTCATATATAATGGTAAGCATATTTAATAGACTCAATAGTACTGTAATTTCTGGTCAGATACAATGTATCTGATGTTTATGTCTTGAATTCTTTTTTTTTTTTTATAGGATGTGAATTAAGGAAGATAACCAAAGAGAATATAGAATTTAACACATGTTTTTGATGCCTTAGAAGCTTCTGTGTAGGCTGAGGTTTTTATTTTGGCTTTTGATTAATATAAGGAACATTTCAAGAAGTTTAGGTTTTCTACAAACTCCATGTTTAGAGCTCAAAAAATTTTGAGATACACTGTCTATGATATCCTTTATTATAAAAGTAGTATGATAGCATTTAATTATAGTAGCAATAATCATTATTGCTATTATGACAGTCTCATATTTGAGCCATGCCTATTGACTTGAGAGATTTTGTTTAATTTTTTTTTTTTGTAACTTGAGAATCTCAAGGCATTGCTTATGGAGGCTTTATTATCTTTGCAGCCTAGGCTCTAGACGCCTTGCCTCTTTCCACCCCACCCTCTGAATAAGTTATTTGCTGCTGACCATTATGATTGGGCACGTCACTTTCATGCCCCCTAGAATGAAAATGCTGCATAACTGGTACTGACTGTGATGAGACATATTTTGGGGAAATAACTCAGTATATTCTGTATCAGTTCCTACCTCTGACCTTTCCCTATTCTTATTTGATGATAGCTTCAAAGTCTAGTGTCACTCAGTGGAAGCTTGGGGACCCTGTAGCACTTTTCCCCAGGCTCTTGTGTTCCACAGGTGACCCCTTGTGGGAGAACCTTGGAGAGCATAGTGGCAAAATGTCATTTTTGTTTCAACTGAGCAAACATGCTTTGGGGGAAATTAGCAAGATAAGAGCAGAAGAAAA